AAGCAGGGCAAAGCAAATTACAGAAGCAAAAGGCAGTGGTTATTTTATATATTTTTAACATTTTGTGGGTTTTTAGATTATTTACAAAAGTTCTATCACCTTCCCTATATTCTCCCAGACTTGGGCTCTTTGTCTTCTTTGAAAGCAGACCCCTCAGGAGTGTCTTCTGGCTAATTATTCATTTTGGGATTCAAGAGATAACCCACCTCAGTTATCTGGAAAATGGGAAGAAGTTCCTTATGTTCCTTTTTACCTTCCACTCCCGTCCCTCTCTGTTCATGCTGCCCTCCATACGACCTCTTCTCACTATAGCATTTTCACTAACACCCTGTTACCAGAAAAAGGAAAGAGGACATGGAGGGCAGCAGCATAAATGACAAGCGAGGCATGTCTTAGTTACTTTTCTTGTTGCTGAGACAAACAGCCATAAGTTAAGGGAGGAAAGGTTTATTTAGCTCAGTTTGTAGAGGTTTCAGTTCATAGTCATCTGGCTCCAATGCAGGGTGACATGGCAGAAGGGCATTGCAGAGGAGCGACAGTTCATAGTGGACAGAAGGCAGGAAGACAGCAAAGCAGCAAGGAAGTAGTGAGGAAGCAAGCAGCAAGTGGCACACAGCAGCCCTCTTTCTGTTCTTCTATCCAGGCTACATGCCCTTGGGGCGGGAGCACTCACACCCAGGGAGGGCCTTCCCATTATCCACACTCAGAACTACGCCAAACCAATCAGACAACCTTAATTCCGTCACTGCACACTCTAGACCCAGCCACCTCTGCAAAGCCTAACCTGTGACTGAGGCTCGGGAGAACATGGAGACACAAGTCATAACAAGGCATAAGGTGCCTTTGCCATTGCTGTCCTTCTACACAATACCCCTTCCCTCTGTTCTGATCCAGACAGTCATCTCCTGAAAGTTGGGTGAGCTTCTAGGTGTCCTTCAGACCGTTTGGGATCCTTCCTGCCCTGGGGAACTGTCCCCTTGACATGGTCCCTCAGGAGACGAGTCTACTGCAGGTGGCCACCATTCTCTACTCATCCTTCGTCTTGGTTGATCTCCCCAGCCTTGGGACCTGTCCCTGTGGCCTGGGCCCTCAGGAAACACTGGTCTCATGCTGGTGACCACTGTGTCCTCTTCTGTTGACCTAGAGACCTCACCCATTCCACTGTGGGTAGTTCCAGTCCAGCCCTCCAACTTGACTTGCCTTCGTCGTGTGTGTGTGTGTGTGTGTGTGCGTGTGTGTGAGAGAGAGAGAGAGAGAGAGAGAGAGAGAGAGAGAGAGACAGGGTCTCCCTATGTAGTTTGGGCTGGCCTTGAACTAGGTGGCCCAGGTTGGCCTTGGACTCACAGTGATATTCCTGCCTCAATCTCCTGAGTGCTGGGATTATAGATGTGCATCACCATGCCCAGCCATCTTGTGTTTCTCCTTAAAAACCTAAAAATCCTTTTCACCACCTGCCTCACAAGCACAAGGTCCTGAGTTCGATCCCTGGTACAAAAACAAAACTAAAAATCCTCCATAATTTGATACTCTTTCTGCCTTCCAACTCTTGTTGGTGTAACTTTATACTGTTAAAATAACAAAAATATGTGATCTCGATTATGATTGACCTAAAAAGTACTATGATACCCTAGGGAAATCATTGTCTTATATATCTTTTTATTTTCTTTAATAAATGTTATTTTATGTATCTTGTCTGTTTTGTCTGCACGTTAATCTATGTGTATAAAATAATCAACTTTAGATATTGGGGGCTGTCAGACAGGACTCCCTCCATGGCTAAAGATAAAGAGTTTTAAAAGGGTCTAAACCACCAGACTGAGTTCAAACTCAAGTTAGTATTAAAAAAATAAGTCAAACTACAGGCCAAATTTCAGGTTAAAAAATGGCTCTTGGGTAACACACAGCCTATACTGAGTTCTGGCAAATAGTAAGCTAAAATTGACTCCTATCTCAGGATGCCAAAAGAAAAAACAGCCTTCCTGAATATCCATAAAAGATAATGAGGAGCCATTAAAAAATATCTTAACTGGGCCTGGGGGTGTAGCTCAGTGGTGCCACTGCCTACCTCACAAGTACAAGGTCCTGAATTTGATCCCCAGTACCAAAAAAAATAATAAGTTAATAAGTTTATTTCACATTCTGTGGTTCAAGTTAATATTTTTGTCTGATTAATGTGCCTAAAACATTTCTTGCAAATGAGTTGACTTTGAACCTCAGACTACAATTAGAGGTTAATTTGCTTGGTGCTGCTTGCTTCTTGGGCTATAGGATGCTATTATTCAAGGCCACTTGGAGGTCTTTTGGCAGCCAGCCTTCATTAAAATGTAGCCATCCATAAACTCACTCTAAGACAAAGTGGAGAAAAATGTCTTAAAGACATTTTTTTTGTTGTTTTTTGAGACAGGGTCTCACTATGTAGTGAGACTGACCTGAAACTCACTGTGTAGCCCAGGCTGGTCTCGAACTCACAGTGATCCCCTGCCTCAGCCTCCCGAATGCTGGGATCACAGGCGTGCGCCACCACGCCTGGCCTAAAGGCATTTTAAAGTCCAAGTGGCTACTAGGTTTGTTACAGAAAGAAAACAGGAATAAGTAGGATAGAGAAGGAAATATGAAGAAAGTTACCAAGACATATTTTTGGTGTGAAAAGATTTTATATGTTTGCTCTCCCAGGTTGGAAAAAAGGAAAGACAGCAGCAAAACTAGAAGGTTCGGTTCAAGTATGCCAAGAAAGGTTTATGGAGGATGAAATTCATGAAAATAAATATGTATGTTAGCCAGGAGTGGTGGCGTACACCTGCAAGCCCAGCACTTGGGAGGCTGAGGATTGCTCTGAGTTTGAGGCTAGCCTGGGCTAAACAGTGATTTCAAGGACAGCCTGAACTACCGAGAACTACTGAGATCCTGTCTCAAAAAAAAAAAGTACTTGGTTATTTTACCTTTTTGCTGTTGTTTAGTATATCTACGATCTGTTCTTTTTAAACCTCTTTGATGCTCAAATGTAGCTAAAAGGGGCTATGACAGTAATTCTAAATCACCACTTACTTCCCTTCCAAAATAAGACCAGATAAAACCAATAACCAGCATCCCAATAACAAGACACAAAAATGAACAAAATAATGATTAATCAACAATGCTGTCAAAAAAAGGGGATATTTTAAAAAACAATATAAAATGCCGGATGTGGTGGCGCATGCTTGTAATCACAGGCTGAGGCAGGAGGATCGCTATTGAGTTTGAGACCAGCCTGGACTACATAGTGAGTTCCAGGTCAATCTCAACTGCATAGTGAAACCCTGTCTCAAAAAATAAAATAAAATAAAAAACAATATAAAAACTGTCAAAAATCAAAATGGAGTCAGTTGTGTCAATGCAACCAAAAAATAAATAGAGCTCAGAGGTTATAAGGAAGGGTTCTTATGCATAAGTGCCTGAGTGTAACTATCACAAAATATATTATTTGGGTCTAGCTTTCAAACTCTTCTTGAGTGGCTACTAATGATTATTCTTAAGTAATTCCCTTTGGTCCATATTTGTACAACCATCTCCAGTTTATTTCTTCTGGAATCCTAGTTTTCGATAATAGTTCTCAGACCAACCCCTAAGTCCTCTACAAAAGCCCATTTAGAGCTCATCACCCAGTTTGGGTCTCAACTCTGAGCTCAAAGTCACTGTGCCTCTGGTGATCAGCAAGTTCAAAAAGACCCCTCAGTGTCCCCACTCAGCTCAAAACAGTCACAAGTGTGACCACCTTGTCCCTTGTCAACAGTGTGACCTTGCTGATTCATCAGGAAAAATATGGTGACAAGGGGGTTGAAATTCTCAGCCCCAAACGTCTTTGATGACACACTTCTGTCCAGCACCTACTGGACAGTCATAAAATACTATTAACAGGGACTAGCAGTAGAAGATAAAAATGAATACAAAAACCATCCTTTCCTCCCCTGAGCCAAGGGAACCAACAGTTGTCCCTGTACCTGTGGGAGCAGGGCCAACCCTTTCCAGATCCAAGGCTACCTGATCCTTCCTAGTCTGCTGGGTCTTGCTGCTGACAACTAAGTGGACCCCAGTTCTCAACCTCCTGTAACCTCCATCTCCAAAATAAAACCCCGGGTTGTCTAGAGGTAGCACTTAATGTGAAGAATTTCTGGCTTTTTTTTTTTTTTTTTTTTTTT